AGTTGAAATCCAGCCATCTTAAAGCTTGCTGGCTGGGGAATTCTGGGAGTTGAAGTCCACCCATCTTAAAGCACCCCAGCTGAGGAATTCTGGACATAGAAATAGAATTCCACCCATCTTTCGAGCACGAGGCTTGGTAATTTGGGGAGTTGAAGTCCATGAATCTTCAAGCATGCTGACCAGGGGATTCTGGGAGTTGAAGTCCACCCATGTTAAGAGTTGCCAAGGCTAAGAAACACTGTTTTAAGGGGAGACACCACGAATCCCCCTCTCCCTCCAGAACTACCGTCACCCCTTAGCCAGGTGGGTAGTAACCAGTGGGGCTACTCACACAGGGCTGGGCACGGAGCTCTCCAGTTCATCCAGAAGGCTCTCCACGCTGGGGCAGATGTCTTCCACCCCGGAGCCCCCGTTCCACTTGGGCTTTTCTTTCCCTGGGGCTGGGGGCTGTGCAGCCGCAGAGGTAGTGTTCTCCAGGAGGCTGTAGGGGGAGCCAGTCCCACCGGGCCGCGAGGGGCTTCCCGCGTTCTCATCTTACAAGTCAAAAACAGAAATGAACATAAAAATGCAGGCAGGAGCTTTGAGCGTGCTTGACGCATTTTATTCATAATATTAATATGCTTAAATATTTAAAAAACCAACAACGGTGGCGTAACTCGAGCGGTGGGGGGGGGGTTAGACTAGAAGACCTCCAAGGGCCCTTCCCCCTCTTCTGTCGTTCTTCCTAACCAAAGCAAAGCTTGTGACTTTTCAGGGCCCACGTTTCTATTCCTTTCCCCGTTTCCGCAAGATCCTGGGATTTATATTCGGATGCTCAGGGAACTGACTCGCCCTTATGATGGCGGCAGCGTCCCACGCTCCCCCCTTGCGACCTTCGGACGAGCAAAAGCCCACGGGGAGGCCAGGTTCCCCTAACAACCACGCTACCAGCTTCACGCCTGCAGTGATCCGCATAATGACCGCGGCAAGGAAGGAGGTCGTAAAACGGGGCAAAACTCCCTGAAACAAAATTTTTCTCGCTTCTCGAGCGAGCTACGCTTTGGCCTCCCCTTGCGGTCGTAAGTCGAGGTTCCCCGTAGAGCCATTCCAGGGGGTCGGGTGGTGCTGCCACTGTCCTCCTACACCCCTCCCCGTTCCTCTCACCCTACCCCCCACCCCTCCCAATGGCGTGATCCTGACCCTAGAGCCCCGCCCCTCGTACCTGTGGGGCTGCCAGGTGAGGGGTTGTGCTGGACAGCGTTCAATTCCAGGAGGAGCCGGTCCAGTTCGGACAGGTTGTTGCCTAAGGAGGAGCTCATCAGGGTAGGAGAAGGTTCCTCAGACTTCTGTTTGTTGGGGAAACTGAGGTTCGGGGGATAAACAGGGAGTTATTTGGAAGTGGCTCCCAAACACCAGTGCTCAGATCAAACAGATTCCCTGCCTCCCTTCCCTCCTTTCCTTCCTTCCTCTCTCCCTCCCTCCTTCCTTCCACCTTTCCTTCCTCTCTCCCTCCTTCCACCTTTCCTTCCATCCTCCCTCCTTCCACCTTTCCTTCCTCTCTCCCTCCCTCTACCCACCCTTCCATCTTCCCTCCTTCCTCCCTTTCACCTTTCCTCTCTCCCTCCCTCCACCCTTCTTTCCTCCTTCCTTCCCTTTCTCTCTGACTTACTCCTTTTCCCTCCCTTCTTTTCTCTCTTTTCCTTCCTTCCTCCCTCCTTCTTCCCTCCTGCTCTCCCCCTCTCCTTCCTCTCCTTCCCCCCCTCTCCCTCCTTTTTATCCTTCCTTCCTCCTCCCTTCCCTTCCTCCCTTTCCTTCTCTTCCTTCCTAGCTTCCTTGCTCTTTTTCCCTCCCTCTTTCCCTTTGTCTCTTTCTTTTCCTTCCTTCCTTCCCTCCCTCACTTCCTTCCTTCCTTCCTTCCTTCCCTACCTCACTTCCTTCCTTCCTGTCTTGCTCTCTTTACCTTCCTTCCTCACTAATTCTTTTCCTCCCTTCCTCTCTAGCTCTCCCTTCCCTTTTCTGCTCCCGTTTCCCATCCATCCCCCCTTTTTTTAACGTTGGTTTTTCAAATAGGAACCACGAGAGTTTTGCACGTGGGAAAAGACGGCAGAGTGGAAATAGAAGCTGCTGCCTTATCCTGGCTTGGTGGCATGCTGCGATAAGCTGTGGTTTGTATACCCAGCACACTTGGCTGGGTGCCCTAGAATACACCAACTCCAGTGTAAAACAACTGGTGTGAGTTGCAAACACAGCCACTGAAGCAACTTCCCTCCTTCAGTTACGACCCCAGGGGCATTTCGCACCCCCTCCTGACCCCAGAGGCTGAACTAGCTAGATAATTACAAGGAACAATGGATGGAAAGGAGAGATTTCACCCAGAAATAAGGAGAAATTTCTTGGTAGTGAGGACAATTAACCAATGGAACAGCCTGCCACCAGAAGCTGTGGATGCTCCAACGCTGGAGGTTTTTAAGAAGAGGTTGGGCAGCCATTTGTCTGGAGTGGGATAGGGCCTCTCCTGCTGGAGAAGGGGGTTGGACTAGAAGACCTCCAAGGTCCCTTCCGACTCTGTTATTCTAAGAAAGGTGGGGAAACTAGAATACCTGTAGACGTGCTCTTCATCGCTGGCACGCGAAGGAGAGGCAGTACACTCCCTGGATACAGAGGCACTGGAACTATACAAAGGAGACTGAGGCTGTGGCTGTAAAAAGAAAAAAAAAGGGAATTTTATTTAAATACGTTAGAATCACCAGCTGTTTTAAGTCAACAACCTGGCAACATTTTGGGTTCAACTGTGGTTGTATGTCTGTATCCCTGAAGCTCCTAGGGGTATATTCTTCCCTCTTTCCACAGTGTGTGCTTAACAACTTCCTCATTCCATTGTGCCTTCGGACACAACTTGGAGAGGAAGCGGCGAGGCGAAAGGACTTTCCGAGGGCGTGGCACTTGAGGTCTGTTTACCCAGGCCGACAATTCGCAAAAAGGCAAAACTGGTAAAACTTCCAGCTACATAGGAATTACCTGTATCCGAGGTCCTAAGTTTAGCTGGGGTGAAGGGGAGACACTGCAATCAGTAATATGAGCCAGCATCTCCTCGGCGAGCTATAATTAAGTTTTTTCTTAATGCAAAAACAGCCACGGAGGAGCCACTGAATTAACCACATTTAGTGTAATGATGTTGCAAAAGAGATGCTTTCCAAGAAGAGAGAGTAGTTTTAGACGGAAGGCAGAGGAAATCCATGCAAAATTTATCTGGCCTCCCCCGAAGGAAATTTATCTCATGGGGCACAATGCGGATTGAGTTATAAAATTTAAAAACGTCATATTACGTGCGAAGCAGTTTACAATTTCTCAGTCAAATACATTTCAGGCATGGGGATTTGGCTACGCAGGTAGGTTGTCCTCAGCTTATGACCATAATTGAGCCTGACGTTTTTGCTGCTAAGCAAGAAAGCAAATTGCGCTCCGTTTTACGACCGTTTTTTTTCCAACGTTAAGCAAAGCATTAAAGCTGTTAGAACCCCATATTAAAACAACTTACCTTATGGGTGGCCAGAATTTGAAAACAACATTTAATATGGCACATAAGACTTGAGTCAAATGGTTCCACTGAGATCCGCATATATGGGACAGATTGGGGTAGATTGTAAGAGGTCATATTGAAATATAATTTTATCTAATTTATCACCATCTTCTTCTTTTAACAACCCCATAGCGCCTTGTGGGGCGGAGTCAGGACAACTGAATGGAGCTGAGTGTTTACTGGCCGGATGCCCTTCCTGTTGCCAGTGAGGAGTTTTGTTCGGCAGATATATTCTCATTGCCCCCAGAGTTATCGTAAAAACACATCCATCATTAATCACAAGATACAACCCTTACGTGATAAGTTACAGGATACTAAATAAGCAATCAACATAAAACCATACACGGACACTAAATAAAACGATATCAATCGTAAGATGTAAGCAACAAAGTTGTAGTCATAAGGAGGTAGTAAGAGGAAAGATAAGTGTCCTGCCCCGGTTGGAATCTGATTCCAAGGGGGAGGATGAGCAGCTGACAGGGAGTGGGAGTGTGGCTCCGTGGCTGTGGAAGAAACTGAGGAAGGCCACAGTCCAGCTGGGCATTCAGAGGAAGACCCAGGGCCATCCCCTCTTCATCCTAGGGCACGCAGGGAGGAATGGAGAAGGGATCAATGTGGGTTACAGGGAAGAAAAGGGCCCTGATTCCCTTCATTAGCTGCAGCTGGGAAAACAGGATTTTAAAAGGGCGTTTGCACACAGCACCTTGCTGGAAGCAAAGCGTGAATTATCTTTGTTTGTCAAGTCTTATCTGAGTTCTGGCATGTTTTGAAGTCTGCCATTCCTTATCTTGCCCTGTTTCGTTAATTGCAGCAGTGTGGTTTGTGTTGGTTTTTATTTATAATCTATATGTACTTTGGGTTTGGATGGAATTTCTTCCCTTTAAAAACTGTTCTTGGGAGAGTTTTTTCTCCAGTCGATGATAACTCGAGGTTGGCGACCAAGTTGGAGGAATTAAAGGGGCTTTACCTACTTCATGACTTTGTTGCTTTTGTGCCACACCCCAGGTCATCACAATAAGAACAGCAATTGAATTAAAACCAAAATTCTTCCTATTGGGGATATTTAATAGACAAATTTCTAAAAAAGTCAAATATATAATACTGCATATTCTTACTGCAGCCAAAATAACCTTTGCAGTGTTGGAAACAAGCAGATATTCCAACAGAGGAAATGGTTATTCAGAAGATAACAGCCTGCGCAGAGATGGATAAGTTAACCTTAGCACTTAAGGAAAAAGAAACATCAGAATATTATAGAAGCTGGGAATGCTGGTATGACTGGATAGAACAAACATAGAAAATATATTAGTAAACAACGTAAAATGTAAAAGAGGTAGTAATTATATATTCGCAATAAGATGTATTTGTAAATATATCACCAATATTGATAACAAACAAGGAACCACAGACTGTCGATAGTAGAATTGTTAGTTTTTAATCATTTTCTTTTTCCGTGTATTGTGTATGTGTTTGTTTGATATTTTAGTTCTATAATCAATAAAGTTTTTTTTTTTTAAAAAAAGAATAAGAACAGCAATACAGCCTTACTAGACAGTTTGAGAGTGTTGTGGGAAGTAGTTGCTTTGGTTGGAAGGAATGCAATTCTCAGGGTGTGGAAAGTTAAGATTTAGGAAATGAAATACCTGTTGGGGAGCATTTCTCGGAAGGACGGGGTGCCATTGGTCTAAAGAGAGGCTGACAGTCCCATTCAAGGCCTCGGTGGAAGGCGGAGGGGGTACCGGCGGAGGGACAGCGACTTCTTGGTAGGTGTGATTTCCAGTTGGATACGAATATGAGGTTTCCTCCGTCAGAAACACCGGCCGTTTGGAGATATGGGAGGTAGTAGATTCCAGATCAGCCAGCAAGGCATCTGCGCAAAAGCCACAAGAGAAGGAGAAGAGTTATTGGGTTGACGTCAGCAAAAGTTACCTTCGCTTGCTAAAAGCCTCCTCCTGAACTCCGTATTCCCAGTTCAAGCGTGCAATCAAGCCCCTGCTTTGCCCCACAATGAAAGCCTTCTTTATTGATAGATCTTGAGTAGATCAAAAGGCCGAGCCCCAACACCCAAAAGAAAAAGAAAAGAAAAGGAGAAGTGCTTCAACCCTCACAACCCTGCTCAAGAGGAACTGGGAGAGGCAGAAACGAGTAAAGTCTGAAAGCAGCTAATTGCTAGTTTTGGCACTGCAAACTCACGTCAAAAAACGCAGCCACAAGCGATCCTCGGGGCAAAAAAGAGAGATCTCTGAATCAGCCAGAGATGGAAGAGATATCAGGTGCAGAGAGTTTAACCTGGGCTGCAGGTATAACTGCCATTCGGTTTCCTAAACGTGTTGGGTCAGATCGCAAATTCCTAAGGGGTTGGATTGGGTCTCTTCGAAAAGGCAGGAAGGCAAAGTGGAAGGTGGAAAAAGGGAAGGGCCCTGGATCTTCTAATTTTCCACCCTTCTCTTCCATAAGACACTAAAACGGGGCAGGAGGAGGAAGAGGAGGAGGAGGAGGAGGAGGAGGAGGAGGAGGAGGAGGAGGACTGTGGTGCTGAGGTTGGTGCTTTCTAAGCAGACCTCTTCTTACCCAACTGGGTAACATCATCAGTGCTTGAGGAGAATGGGATTTGTGGAGGGGAGGAGAAGGATTGGCAGGTCCTTGGTGCTCTCTGAGCTTGGTGGTTTGTTAGCAGACCTTTTATTACCCAACTAAGTAACACCATCAGTTCTAGACGGGAATGGGGTTAGTGGAGGAGGGTGGGGGGAGGAGGAGGAGGAGAAAGAGAAAGAGAAGAATGACACGGATTGGTGCTCTCTAAGCTTGGTGAGACATTTTATTACCCAACTAGCTAACATCATCAAGGGAGTGGAATAGGGAATTTGCCAGACATGGTTTTCCTAATGCAATCCACTGCAACCTGGGGTGCCCTCCAAATAATATAACTCAGCCCTCTAGCACACCTGAGCTTCTTCAAGGCAATGACATTTTGGGTGACTTTGGGGGATAAAAGAGTTTTTGCATTAGAAGAGAGGTAAACGGAACATTCTTATTAAACCAGCTAAATTTTCACTTGGTACACAGCTCTGGGACATTTTCCCCAATTGAAATGATGGTTTGAACCTGCCTATCGTGTTGTGAAATGAAAATAATTTTCACCGTGTTGGTTGCACTTGCAAAATGGAGCTGGAGAACTCCAAGCACTTTGGGCTGCCTGCGATTGTCTCTCCACGCAGATTATTTCCATACAGGAAACTGCATGTCGCCAGCAAGTACATCCATGCACGTAACACACACACACACACAAACGGATCCCTTTGGATTGCTCTCCAACACCTTCCAGAAGTTTCATTCCAAATGTGTGTGTGTTTTTTTTACCAAAAGGCAACTGGATTTTTCTGCATGCCCTAGGATAGAGAGGGGATGGGCCTGGGTCCTCCTTTGACTGCCCAGCCGGCCTCTGCCCTTCCCCAGCCTCCTCTACAACCTCCGGGGCCACACTTCCACTCCCTGTCGGCTGTTCCTCCTCTCCCTCAGTCTCCACCAGGGGCTTGACAAATATAATAATAATAACAACAACAACAATAATAATAATATACAAACTGACTACCTAGAACGCCATAACCGAGTTGCTAAAATCATTCGCTGGAAACTGTGCCAAAAGTTTGGATTTGAGTAGAGTACCAACTACTGGGAATATCAAGTTGAGAAGGTTCTGGAGAATGAAAAAGTCAAGATCTTGTGGGACTTCAGAATTCAGACGGACAGGCACTTGGCCCACAACACACCTGACATAACAATAGTTGAAAAGAAAAAGGGTTGGTTCATTGACATTGCAATACCTGGTGATGCACGAATTGAAGACACGCAGCAAGGAAAAATCACAAAATATCGGGACTTACAAACTGAAGTTGAGCGACTTTGGGAAAGGAAATCGTGTGTGATCCCAATTGTAATTAATGCCCTTGAAGCAATACCTAAAGGGCTGCCTCGCTATTTGGAAATCCTGAATTTATCAGACTTGAATACCCTGATTCTACAAAAATCCACCCTACTTGGAGCAGCTTATATCCTCCGACGCTACCTGAACAGTTCCTAGGTCCTTGGTTGGGACTCGAGCTGTTGAGCTACCAACCAGCCCTAAAGGCTGTGAATCTCACCAATTATTATTACTATTATTACTATTATTACTATTATTACTATTATTATTATTATTATTATTATTATTATTATTATTATCATCATCATTATGCCGTAATTATTCATTCAGCTACTAAGTGGGTAACAACAACGTTCCTATCTGGTTAGGTTAATCGTAAAGCTGTTTGTTCAGAGTACAGGCAACACACACACACACACACACACACACACACACACACACACACAAACACACACACAAAGGGACAGGTTTTAACCCTGGCATGATTTTCCTCCGCTTCCTTTTCTCCCTGCCTGAACAAAAGAACTGGCGGAAAAGGGATATTCCGGCTTTTGGCTCTTCTCACCAATCTCTCCAGTGCAATAAACAGTCAATTTAACAGTAACACTAAAGTGGCTGCCTCCGGTGAAGAAAATTAGAGCAAAATATACAATATTCCCAAGCAAGGCAGCTTGCACGATTAATCTCAGGCCTGGGATTAATGAGAGGTCTAACTTCTGAATGAATTTCTAAGGAGACTCCAAGAACTGCCTGCTATCAGCGAGAGCGTGCAACTGTATGAAGTCCTTAGACTTAGGACCACAATTGACGCCCACCCTGCCCACCCCAAAAAAACTTCTGTTAGTGAGCGAGATAAATTATTCGGTGAGTTTGGGCCCGTTTTTAACCACCTTTCTGGCCAGGTTTGTTAAGTGAATTGCTGCACATGTTATAGTTCGTTACACGGTTGTTAAGTAAATCTGGTTTCCCCGTTGATTTTGTCAGAAGGACGCAAAACAGGACCGCAGAACCCTGGGAGAGGAGGGAGGAAGAGGAGGAAGGGCTGTGGGGTCCTTGGTGTTCTTCTAGGTAGTTTCCTTGCAGACATTTCATTAACCTACTAGGTAACATCACCAGTGCTACAAGGGAGTGGGAGCTGTGAGGAGGAGGAGGAGGAGGAGGAGGAATTGTGAAATTTTTTGAGCTTGTGCTCTTTGAGCTGGGCTGTTTTCTTGCAGATGTTTCATTACCCAACTAGCAAACGTCATCAGTACCAGAAGAGAGAGGGTTTTGCAAAGAAGAGGAGGTGGGAGGGGGAGGAATGGCTGCCCTCTTAAGTCCTGTGTTCTTTGATTAAGAGTCAATGTTTAAACAGAATTTATGAGTCACCCTTTGAGCAGGGTAGGTGTGGCTCCAAACACTTTCCTCCAGGCAGTGATTATTCATGCTGTTTTTCTCTCTTATACACACACACACCCCTAACATCATTCTACCCGCACCACAAGTTCTCTACCACAAGTTCTCCGTTGCAAAGCAGGCCAGGAAAAAGCAGAGCTAACAGAATACCAAGAGTTGGAAGGGACCCTGGAGGTCTTCTAGTCCAACCCCCTGGTGGCAGCGCCCCGGGGGAGTCACATGATCCCCTTTTTCCGACCTTCTGGCCAGCCAAGTCAATAGGAGGGAGCCAGATTCACTTAACAACTGGCTTACGAATTTAACAACTGAGGCGATTCCCTTTAACGACGGCTGCCAGAAAAGTCACAAAACGGAGCAAAGCTCACGGAACAAATTTTCTCACCTAACAAAACATCAATTGCGGCCTCCATTGTGGTCATAAGGTGAGGACTAACTAATTTACCAACCGCAGTGATTCACTGGACGACCGCAGTTGGAAAAGTTACATATATAAAAAAAAAGAACCCTCCCTTAACGTCTCCTTTAACCACAAAAATTTTGGGCTCGGTTGAGGTCATAAGCAGAGGACGGACTATATTCCCAAACTGAAAAAAACAAGGCACCCATTTCTCCTCAGGAGGAAGTTGCTGACGTTAAAAGAGACATTTTAAAGCGTTCAATCTTGTTCCTTTCTGAGATCAATCAAAAGATTCCGGCTATCGATAGCGCTGTCCTTCAAAATGGCCGAAATGCCCTCTCAAAAATCAATATCTCCCATATTATTATTATGATTATAAGGCTTTATAGAGTGGTATTAGTGCCTCCCTTGATTTCGATTGTATCCCTCTGTTAATGCAACTTAGGATTGCATTGGCTTTTTTGGCTGCTGCTGCACATTGCTGGCTCCTATTTAGCTGGTTGTCCACTAAGACTCCAAGATCCCTCTCCCAGTTCCTGCTATTGAGCCTGGTTTCACCCAGTCTATATGTGTCCTTTGGGTTTTTCTTGCCTAAGTGAAGGACTTTCCTTTTCTCTACATTGAACCAAGTCGACTTTAAATCAAGCCTTTTTACGAGCGATTTAAATCATCATGAGTTAAATCAATTCGATTTCAATCAAACCCCACCCTGCTTCAAATAGTCACGAAACGACCCACGTTAAGTTCTGTCCTGGAAGGACATCTTGATATGATCAACGGCCAAAACAATGTCAAAGCAAATCCCGTCGGGAATTGCATCCAATAGGTCCCTTCCAACTCTGGTTATCTGTTATATCTGTTAAATCATTGTTTTTAAATAGCAGCTATCATCTCTGCTGTGAAATTGTGGGAAGGCATCAATGCAGGGCATGTTATCCCAGCTTGCAGAGTGTGGATTCACGGAATGAGTTGGCCAAAACTGTAAATATTGCAGAATATACAGCCTTGTGCTACTAAGCTCCCTTTCGTGCTGAACGAACTACATTGTTAATGCGCCTTAAAGAGAAAAGTTTCTTTAGATAGATTTTTATTCCGAAAGCATTCTATTAAAATAAATTTGACGATAGTAAAAATAAAAAAAACTATTTAAATTTTTTTAAAAAACTGATTTAAAAAAAAATCATCGATTTTTATCCAACCTGGTTCAAAGTTACAATGGCACTGAAAAAAGTGAGCCCCTGTGCATTTCTAATTGCATCTTCAGTTCGAAATTCCCTCTATCCTTGTATTCTCAAACCTTTATTTGTTCTTAAATTTTATATTTATATATATATATATATATATATATATATATATATATATATATATATATA